AAATGTCCGCTACACATGCAGCTTCAGCCAAATGCATGCATGCTGCGCCTTCCGCTGTTAAATTCAATGGCTTTCGCTCCCAGCTTAAAAATGCAAAACACTCCACAGTCAATTATTGTCTTTTATTTATACAAGTTTTGGACTACGGTTTTGGCCTGGAATTACAGTCCCGCCCTTCCATTCTATTCTAACTAACCATGCACATGAAGTAGGCATTGCATAAATTTCAGTTTTTTCAATTTGCCTAAAAAGATTATAATGTTGCACCATGATTCCCTCTTAGGTAGGTCATGTGATGGGGCGAAAACGATCTGTATAAGGCCGCTGTGTCATTACTATAAAGCAGTGTCGATCCAGTATGATGATGCTTTGGTATTGTGAAGGCGATCCAGGCGATCCATGGACACAGGCTCTACCGCCCCGAACTATCGCCAAGGAACGACGACTCTTCTCGACAAGCCGGAGCACCGGAGCAGTCGACGAGCCCCTTAGCTACCAACCCAGTAATAACATACTAGAAGTAATAACATACTAAAACAAACAAAGCATTACACCAAAATAAAATTCTCTGATTTCCGTACATTTCTGAATAATGAATTTTTCGCTGATAGGCTCTCACTGTGACAACGCTTGTTTCGAAATAACTGAAATCTTGCCAAATTCTTCCTTCTACCGAAGAACTACTAAGCTAGCCTCAGGGCGGGTCAAGCGCTACGATCGCCAACTTTAATGATCACGGGCAATGCAGCACTGGTCAGAGAAACTGAGAAAAATGCACCTGCACTTTGAGAGATAAAAGTCTGTGCTTATGCGCCCAGTCAATCACAACAAAAACTTCTTGCAAAAAACCTAATTAAAAAAAGGGGAAATTAACGAATTCTTACTGAGGTATACAAATTTCTTTGTAATCAATCTTCTGCGGAAGGCCCGGGATCGGTTCCGGGGCTGCGCCTTCTTCGAGGTTAGTTGAACGAGGTAGTTTGGGTTTCTGATCACCGAATTTGCGACTCCTACTATCTTCGCTCTTCTTCCGCTCTTGCGGTCGTTTTATCGCCTTTGATGGCTGTCGTCTTGGCTTTGCTGGGGGGCGTTTCGTCTGCAATACATCAGATACGAGGACTGTGAATGCGAAATGCACAGAGTACACCAAACATGATAGCTACGTAATATCTCCGGTGCACCAGTACCGCCGAAAAATTCCAAAGCTTTCGCCATTTTCGGCCTCAAAAAAGCTTAAAAAGTCGAAAAAGCTCACGCATCAGTTGCACAAGTCAAAATCCGTTCCAATATTTACTGCTCTTAAAAAATAGAGACACTCGAGAGTAGTCCAAGTAGCAATGGTCAACTGCAACCATTCGCTGGCAAAGCGATGGCTGGCTT